CTGTTATGCTATTTCTAGCTCTAAAACGATAAAGTAAACTTTAAAAATTAGATTTTCCGCTTTTTACTTTTCGAACTTTGAGAAAGCCTCATTCCTTATCCTATTAGGCAGAAAGCTGAAATTTTTGTCTATAAGTACCTTTCAAATGTCTAGTAGGTTTGAATGAGAATGGAAAAGTTGATGTTACCAATCTTGGACTGAATTGCCAAGCCAAAAAAGCCTTTTTCTTGGTTACCATAGCAACGGTTGCTATAACAACAATTTCCTCTGCTCATCCTGGAGTATTTTTTATATGCTCCATTATTGCATAGGTGATTTGTCTTTAGAAAGCTCACCACAGTTCAAATTCTTTCTTAAAGTATTTTTACTGGTCCGGAGTTTCTGGTCCGTAAATTATACATGCGCATTCTGACGTCATGAAATATATGGCATTTTGTTGAAGAGTAGTTGGCTATTACTTGTGAAAAGTTTCTAGCTGATAGAACTTATAGTTTTGAGAAAACATGGTTTTGGTGCAAGAACAAGTTTTAGTAAGATTACCTATTCATCGTCCTTAATATCTTTATTTTTATATAAGATAAACTTATATTTTTTTGTGCTAAGCTCTCGATTCTTGCTGAAATTAATTTCAGCACAGTAATTTTATTTTCTAGGAAGAAAAAGAAAGAATAAAAAGGGAAGTCGAACTGGAGTTACTCACAGAAACTCAAGGTATAAAGCATTGTGACCCATCTATCACTGAGACCTGCCTTTCGTTTTTCTTTGTTTTTATCCTTGGTACCAGGGTAAGGGGTGATTTCACATGGTCAGAAAAAATTAATATCCCGTCAGGATAATAGTTTGTCCAATTAGCAGTAAAATATATTTGTACCCAAATAATTATTTCTCTAGATAACTTCATAGCCCCCGTCTCAAAAAACCCCCCTCAAAAAGAGATTTCTGATTTGCTTAAAGATACGGCCCACTTTTACATCTTTTTAAGAGTACCTTCTCTCAACTTAACGCCATGTAACAAGGATACTTAATTTCTCTTTTTCGTTTCACATCTGTATTCGTAACTTACTACCTAAAGAAATTTACATAGTAAAACTAATTAATCATAATTGTTTTCGTTCACTGTACTGTGTCTTATCACTTTTTGGTTCCCTCCACTCCTTCCCGCATTACGTAGCGGTTGAATGACTGATTCTGACCCTGTATACCAACGCACTGATTTTTAAAACTGTACAAAATCATCATAAATCATCGTTGAATTCTCGTTTTACTGCTCCATGTGTGTTTCTGACATTTTTGCGAATTTCCTTTCAGATACGACTCTTTCTGAGCCAGAATTCAAGGTAATTTTTCTATTTTTCATTCTAGATATTCTAATTTTGTACTTCTTCACTGATTTTTTACGAGTTTGCCAGGAACCTGAAGTTTCACCATCATTATTATCATCATTTGTCACTTTTTACAACTCCTGACGATTGGTACAAAAGGGTTTGCATGACACAATCACGTAAATGTTTGCCGAGGTTTGTTAAGCATAAATTCAGAAAAGGTATCAGAGTTTAATTAAACAATTACAAATAAGTGTAATGTCAAAGAAAACTAGAACATTAAGTCAGCCTTAACTCTGTAGACACAAGTTTGACCCCCAAAAGGAAAAGGCCTCTAACCGAAACAGATGCTTTAGCGATAAAATTGGCTCACTAATGGTTTCTATTGGCTTAACTCTGTTCTATAGTCCTTAACGTCGTTTTTCGTATTCTTAAACACGCAACTCACGGGAAGCTTAACTAGACAAAGTAAAACTTGAAATACTTCTCTGTAAACACTAAAAAGAAAGAAATTACACATAAACAAAAAGTTTTTATATAAGAAAGATTAAGCGGAGGAGCTCTCTAAGCAGGCATTAACGACAAGAGGTAAGGTTCTATAAGCCTACTGGATAGAGACTGTATAGCTGTATTTATGGCATTTTTCTACGAATTTTTTAGGTTAAACCCCCTTTTTGGGAAAATCGTTTGTAGAATTAGAATTTTCATACGTGGTCTTTCAGGTATGTAAATTATTTCGAAAATCGAAATGACTTAAGCTCTGACAATGCTTTTTTATTGTACCATCTTCTACTTTTATTTTTCAACAGGGTAAATCCGCCTCAGTATCCTCGTTTCATCGCATTGCATCAAACGCTCAGGAAATGTATGGCAGAGGCCAAACGAACACTCATGCTTTGGAGGTATAACAATAAGAACAGCACGTTATATAATGCTAATTTCATTTTTTGGCGGTATAGAATTTGAAAAAGGCTTTGAAAAAAGCAGATATTTAGGCACGCAGTACTGATTGGACAACTATACCGGTCTTGTGCTTGGGTTTTTCTAATTGGCCTTTTTTGATCCACAACTGGGTTTATATTTTCCATCATGTTATTTTGGATTATTTCGTCTTTTGCTAATATAAAGTTGAAGTTTAGGCCTATGAGCATGTAAAAACTAAGTACCAATGGTTTTCTAATCATCGCTGAATGAAAATACAGAGTGAAGTGTAATAGTGATTTCCTTATGTTTGTTTTCGTTGTAAGATTTTTAGATGATAACGTCATGTCCACACAAAAAACTATTCATAGATTGCATGAGGTACTCTGCTATTTCAAAAACGCAATAATTTATCATGCTTTTTGGCAAAAGATATCAACGAGATTAGAAATTGTGACCTTTTTAAGAGTATGACTTAGCCTTTCTTCCTGTGATGATATTTTAATGCACGTTGTGTGAAAAGCTAAAGACAACTGTCAGAAAATTCTTTAAGCAGGCATTAACTCTTTCAGTCATGACACATAAAAGCAATAAGTGGGCACATAAAAGTTACTCTCTTTTTTCTGAACTGGGTAATGCTCATTTAAGTCTAATTTCAGGATCTTCGTAGCATGTATTGCAAAATCAAGCTTCCCCAGTTATTAGGATTATTAATAATAATTTATACACTTGTGAATTGCTTCAAACAACCTGCAGCTCAACATCAGCTACAAGCTGTCATGACCCTGATCTCCATTAACGGAGAAACCTTGTTTGCTTGCTTGAGAATTCTCTTGTTTGTTTGCGTGTCTGCTTTCTTGTCTCTTTACTTGCTTGTTTATGTGTCTGCTTGCTCGCTTGCATGTCTGCTCGCTTGGCTGTGTGTCTGCTCACTGGTTTACTCGTCTTTTTACTTGCTTGTGTGTCTTGTTGCTCGCTTGTTCGTCTCTTTACTTGCTTACTTGCATGTCTGCTTGCTGGCTTATTCATCTCTTTACTTGCCAGCGTGACTGCTTGCTTGCGCCTATGCTTGATTACGTGCGCGCCTATTTGCTCGCTTGCTCGTCTGCTTGCTTGTTTGTTTCCGTGCTCGCTTGATAGCCTCCTGCATTGTATGTTGCTGCCTTCAGTTTTTGCGTTTTCTCTACTAAACGAAAAATTTTATGTGTAAGTATAGCAAGACTGTTTCGTTTCAGAATGATTTCTGGCATGTTGTTGCTGAAGGAAAGCGTCATGTTGCCTCGTTATCTGGTGACATCGATACGATGAACTGTGAATCCTCTTTCCACGTCGCGAGGTCAAAGTAAGTTTCCTTTTAAGTGTTTCATTTGTCAAAATTTTGATTCTTGGCGGATGTAAAGAAGAGTTTTGAAAATGAACTTTAACAGAACACTTCTCAAGTAATGTTATTTACACCCGCCTTTTAAAAGAATGAACCTTTTTATGGTTGGTAGTTTGAGCTAGTTACCAGACCCCTAATAAGTAGACCGCACGTGATCGAGTAGAGAGAAACGTCGAATTGAAAGAAGGTTGAGTACTTCGATTACCCATAGTAATGTTTTTTCTATTAAGTAAATGAAGAAACGTTTAGTATTGATTGCAAACCCTTAATAGAAACAATATTGAACTTAAAAGAGTAAAGTTTTTACGAATAATTCTTTACAAAAAAGAGAAATTTCAATAATATTGGGGACAATTTTTAATTAGATCTGATATATTTATCTTTTTATCAAATTTTATTAGTTTTTGATTAAATTTGTATCTAGATCTACTTATTGATTCAATACTTATGAAAATTGTTTAACCGTTTCTGAGTGTTGGAAAGTCATTAACCATAATGGCAAAGAGTTTGTTTCTGTAAGGTTGTTTTTATAAGGTAGTTTTTTCATTTCAGTAAGTTTGATTTCCGTTTCCTTCTAAAATCGCCCACTTTCTTCTGTATCTGAGTAAATTCAAGTTAAAGTTGTCAGAAATTAGATTATTCCATCCAAGCAAAACAAATAAATTTAAAATAGAACAGTCTGAGGAGTTTTCAAGAGACATTCGTAGGCTATGGCGCAAGCTGGATGGGGAGGGGGGAGGGGGCTGGTGGCAAGGCCAAATAAAGACTCATGACAAAGCTTTTACAAAAAAGCCTTTATTTTGAAAATGATAGGGAGCATAGCCAGCATGGCCCCAATGATGTAAAGGGACCCTGACATTAACATGTAGACAGGTCTGCGATTATCAGTTCTAGAAATTCAATCGTATGGCACGGAGGAAGTGCAAAATCTAATTTAGACCAACCGTAAAACTGCAAAATGATATTTTTAAAAACTATATGAATGATAATTTTAATAGCTTTTTTACCTCATATTCAAGATATATATTTATATCTTCAAGAGGTTTTTTGACTAGCTGCAAAAATTTTCCGGAATTGTGAGTAGCAATCTATTTTAAATTACTTTTTTCAGATCCAGGTGGAATCTTTCGTCTTTACCGCAGTCGCAAGCGTCATTACTTCGCCATCTCGGAGTGGTTCCAGGTATGATTTATTAGCGATAATACTGTATGATTTTTAGGCATTTAAACTATCTGCTGTGCATTTTTCAAGTCGTGGACTGGTTACACGACCTCGTTTCGGAATCACAAAACCGCATTGACTTTGCAGCAAAGCCACCAGCCTCTGTTACAGCTCTTGTGCGAGTATAATCATAATAATATAAAATCATAAAAAATTTTTAAGGTTGATTTATTTATAGTTAAGGAACTAATTTAGACCAACTATTTACAAAAATACATATAAAAACTGCCGTTGTATCTAGGCGATTTCATGAAAGGCGTTTGTCGTTTGTCGTAAGTCCATATAGGTATGATTCATGAACGATAAAGTCGGCTGCTTTGTAACCAATATTAATTTTCTGCTTTGCACTATCCAAAATGTGAATTGGCCACACGGCCTCGTTTCGAAATCACTAAACCACTTAATGTACCCCACCTTCAGGCTTGAGCGAAACGACCAGAAATGTCTACCGTGCAAGTACTTGCTCTGGTTTATGTAATTCCGTAAAGAGTTCTTGTCGGACGTTGGTACGAATCACCTCATCCATTATAACCTAAAACGCCGCTCTTCCTGGCTTATATATCCGCAGTTGCTTTCCCTTTGCGTTATTCAGCGTCAAATCGAATAAGTGGCTTGTTTTATTAATTCCAGATTGCAGCTCTTTGAGTTTGTTTTTAAGGCGTGCCTTTTTATCGGCAGATATCTAATTATATCAGTGTTCGTTCGATCAAAACTGGAAAATGTGCTACATTTTAAGGTAGCAGTTTAACCAATCTTGATGATTTGTAGAATCTTTTTTTAACGATAAACCAGGCAATTTAAGATACCACAAATGTGAATTTTCGTCTGTGACTCAGTTTGAGAATTGATAATGTCATAATTTTTCTGTTACACAATTATTCCTAGAATTTTTTTTTCGCAATCGAGAATGGAAACATTCGAGTAAGTGACTGATTAGAAAGCCAGTAATCAAATGTGTGAAAATGTCCCACAAAAGCAAAAACAGAAACATTTAAAAGACCGTTTTATGTCGTCTCATTAAGCAGTTTTTCTAAATACTGCCTTTACTGAATTTTATACTTCAACCCTTTTCTTCTTATAAAATATTTTGTTAAGCATTCAATTTTTTAGAATTTCAACAATAAATTTCTTCAGGATCTTGTAAAAAATTTGTATTTAAAAACTATTTAAAACGATGAGTCTTCATGCATAAAACATAGACATAACGTTGATGCTCAACTTTTTTCCGCGATGGTTTGTTGTCAAAATTGAAAATGAAACCTTTAACATTAAAAGCCAGAGTTTGTTTAAAATTGTCAGAATTGAATCAACATCGATTTAACTAGTTATCGAAAAGATCTTATGGCAATTGAAAGTCAATTGATCCATCATCATTGACGCGAAATTTGAAATTCATGGATCAATGTTAGAATTAATTCCAGCCAAATATAAGTATTGAATCGAAATTGCACGGCCAATCAGGACAGGCCAAACTTTCGCAATAATTTGAATATCAATTGCCATTGAAGGTTAGTTATAAATCTTTTTCAGAATTTGGCACTGATAGATTACTAGGTTTTCTTGTGGCCATTCTGTGGGAACTCTTGGACACAAGAAAATATCAACACGTCATTTAACGCGAATTTTTTTTGCCTGGTTTATGAAATGCTTCGGGCGACATTTAAAATTTACCGATCAAACAAAATCAAACGAGTCATATCTGTCAGGGATTGACGCGCTTTGATTCATCCTTGGAATCTCTCTCTCTCGTACTCCTCCATAGCGATGTGATGTAGTACAATAGTGAGTGGTGCTACTGTTCATTGACTATAAAAATCCAAACTTCGTTATTGAAATATCTTAATTTCTGAGGATTCATTACAACATATGTTTAAGGCGTGTCATCGTGAAACTTCAAAGTTGTAAACGAAATTGTATCAGTTTGTTCCTGCCTGGTGTCAAAACAAAGTATGAAAATGCGGCGGAATGGGTATCAAGCACAAGTGGCTGGTTTTTTTGAATTGGATATAGAATACGTCGTGCCTGCCTACCATATAATAAAGTTTCTGTCTTAAGAATACTTTGTATGTTTAAAAGGTGAAAAATTGAAAACGAGCAGCCTGTTTTTAAGCCTCCCAGACATATTAGCCATTCCTCTCCAATGCAAATTGCTGCAAGGGCCTTTCAAGTGTCAGGAAAACATTTCATCGAACAGAAGTGAATCCCGGCGTTTCTTCTGTCAGATAGAATCCTACATCCATAACTGATGTGGTTGTGGTTGCGATTTCTTTCTGGATTTTAAGTTATAAGTTTTCGCTTACTCACGTTACTTTACGTTAGCCGAAAGATGCACGAGACGATGACCAAATTATTGCCGCTTGTTGTGCAAAGAACAGTGATTATGATGTGCCTTGTAGCTGCGGCCGTGTGTACAATATTCTTAGATGTGACACTTGAACGTCGTTTCATCCGAAAAAAAAGCAGCGAAATACTGTGGTGTAACAGAATCTTTCTGTCGTAGCTTTTTCCCGTTAAATGGTACCCCAGTCTTGCCGGTACTAGGTTCTTGGGTTCTTGTCTACCCACAATCTCTCCAAAGGTTTACTCTGAGGTTGAAAATAAACGAGACCTCTCTCTTCATTTTATCGGAATTGATGATACCCTGCTCGTCATTTAAACCCCCTCAAATTTCGTTGATAAAAATTTTCAAATAAAATAATTTGAAATGACTTCGCAATCATTCTCAACGATACTTCATAAAGGTTTATTCCCCATTTTTCGAAACCCCTGCAAGCTTTTGTTGTTGATATGACTCATACTTCACCTAGATTCAAACACCTCACACTAAACATATAAAATCGCATCGTGTGTTGCTACACATTCAGCACACAAATTTTCAGACGAGAAAATTCCGGAAAATAAACTTTGAAAAGGATATTTTCTGATGCTTCGAAATTTTGGGACTAATTCATCGGCGGAAATATTTACTTCACTCGTTGAATTCCAAATTTGAAGCATGTGAAAATTCCCATACATTGACTTTTATGTTCACAGCAGCAAATTACGTTTGTATTTTGGTAGGGAACTAAGACATTTTTTTGTAAGAAAGAATGTTGATTTACCAATGGTAGTCACCCCCCCCCCTCCCCCACGTCTCGGCAGGACCGTTTTCATATTTCGCTTCAATTCGTCGAGGATATGTTGGAGGAAGGGTAATGTTTTGGCAAAGTAATTTTGTGACTATGATTTGGAAACTGCCTTTTTGTAATCAAACGTTTGTTATGAGTGTTCGCAATTGGTAAAATATGCATTTCATTTGATGAAAGGGCGTTTCCTGATAGTAAAAAGGGCGTGACCTAGATTTTCAACCCCCCTCCCAGAGCCTAGTGGTTAGCATCGCAATTTGTTGATTCTATAACATGGTGACATTTTCTGTCTAGTAGTCGGTGATAAGCATATGGCACAATAATCATTGATAAATTATTTCACTTTCCAAAAAACCCAGGTAGTTATAACTTTTGTATTTAATAATATGAACATTACTGGTAACAGTTCAGCCATTAGCTATAATATCAAAACTCGTACACTTGAGAACAATCGCTTGATGTTTTGAAAAAGAGTTATGTCACACAATTTCCTCTAGACCATGATACTAATGAAACATACCACATACAATCATATATCGACTTTTAATATTATTTTTCAAATTCATATTCTCTCAGTTTAATATTACCGGAAAAATCCTTTCAAGTTGCTAACACTTTCTATTGAAATGTTCTGCTAAAAAATAATTTTCTTCGTCACTGAACAGCTAAAATTTTGTCATGAAAATGCTATTCATTGGCAGTTTCGTTGCATTTAACCATGTTTTGACATTTTAAGGTGTCTTTCCGAATTATCGTTTTATTATTGGTTTATAAACTTTACCAGATTAAATGGTTGTACTGGGTACAGTTTTGTATATCTTTTAGTTCTTAATGTTAAGGAAAGGCTGGGGGCTATGGCAGGGACAAGCAAGGGATAAAAAGGAGTGGCTAAAAAGAGGGGGCTGTGAGCTTATTCCCTTTAAAGTAATAATAATCTAGGAAGGTTACTTGCAAGAAGGAAATACAACGATCCAAAGTTTACTTTCTCGGAACAGAGTTCGTAAATATGTCAAGGAGTCATTGAATGTGTGAGGCTGGTCAAAATTAACTTGTGTTTCTGACATGTCTCAGGTGACCAGGGGCAAGGTCTACGTGACAATTTTGCTGTCATTTTCATTAAAATATCCTTGCTATGGCCATCCTTGAACTTCGTACAGAAGGGGATAACAAAGTATATAATCGCGAGTCCCTATGCTTACAGTGGCAGATCGTTCTTTTGAAACACGATACTCATATCATATCATTCTCCAGCTTGTGGATTGTATTGTTTTGCATCAGATTAAATTGATTATAACAGTTAACAACTTAATAGCGATAGAAATCTCTGACATGGACCTTTGCACTTTACCCGTATTCCGCTGATCCACCATAATACCTTTATTGGAACTGAGTGAAATTAAATATCGAATACCACCAGCTCCGCTGTAGAGCATTGCGAGGCTGAAGCGCTCAGTAAATATCTCAGAGTATTAAGGGTCGTTGCTGTGAACCGATAGTGCAGTGGGCATCGGATCTCAAAACTCTAGCCTTGCGGTGGGCTTTGATCCAACTTAGAAAAGTAACGTGCTGTAGGAGATATCTAAAAGATGTTATACAGTTTAAGTATTGGGCCTAACTAATGGTGGAATTAACAAATGAAATGTTATTATATCAACACTTGCTGTTAGTTATGACGATATCAACTGAAAGGCACTGCATAACTGCCGGATGGCTTAGGAAAGGGGAAAATTGTCTTTCAATCTAGAATTTTCTTGTTTTACATTATTGTAAGGCAGTTTTATGATAAGGAAGTTGAGGTAGGTAAATCCTAGAAAAATTACCCCAAGGACCAAAAAC